GGCCCACTCCCACCTGGTCTGGGTGGGCGCGCCAAGCAGACGCCCCTCGGCTGCGCGGCTACTTTCTGTTTCCTTTCCCGAGACCAGGAGTGGCCGCGGCGGCCAGTCCCGCCCACCTGTCCTCCCCGCGCCCCACTCCGGGCCAGGACCGCTCTCGGCCCGGGGGTCCCATTCCCGGGGGTCGGCGCGGGGACCGGGACCGCGCGGCGCGCTGCCGGCGCCCGGCGCCCCCGTTCCACGTGGCGGAGCCGAGGGGTTGCGCTCTCGGCGGGAGCCGGCAGGGCGGGGGTCGGCCCGGAGGCCGGGTGGGCGTCTCGGGGGGACCCTGAGGCGGGCCCCTCGCGCCGCCGGCTCCCGCGCGCCCCGGAGACGCGCAGGTGGGCGGGCTCGGCTCCCTCTCGCCGCTCGGCCCTGCCCGCGGACAGGGCAGCCGGCCGGGCCCGCCGTCGCCCCGGAGTCCGCCCGGCCCGCCGCCCGGCCCCCTCAGCCCCCGCCGCCGCCGCCCGGGCCTACCTTGCTGGTGAGGTCCAGCTCCGGCTCGCCGTTGAGCGCCTCGCCGTCCTCGCTGCAGTCCGAGTCGAAGCCGCCGTGGAGCCGGGCGGCGGCCGCCGCGGCCCTGGCCGCCCCCGGGGAGCTGGGCTCGGGGGCGAACATAGAGGCCGGGACCGGCGAGTCCATCGGGGAGCGACTCCGCTCCGCCGCCATCTTTAATAACTTAGGCTAATTCGCAGCCGGCTTCCCTCCCTCCGGCCTCATTTGACTAATCTATGCAGGCCACGCCCCGCAGCAATAATGTATGCGAAACCTCTGCCGCCTAGAGGGTGACACGTTATCTCTAGCTAAGAAACAATCGACCCGCCTTCTCAATCACCAATCACGGCGGCCTTGTCAAGGCACCTAATGAATAATTAATGAGCCCAAACCCCAACAACAAATGTCTGCGACGTCACGCGCCTGGAGCCCACCGAGGGCTGGGGCAGCAGGCTGTACACGCTACCCGCCTGGCGCCTTCCCGCCAACGGGAGCAGAGCGGAGTCTGACTGACGCAGCAGCCACCCAATGAGAAGAGAAGCAGCGACAACGTCGCTTCGCACCGCCCCCCTTCACTCTCCCGCTTTCCAGAGGCGGCGCTCAGCTTCCAAGTCCTGCAAAACAGCCGGAGGCGAGCGTCTTCCGATGATGGACAGGGCCACGGTCCAATCCGGTCCGCGGATAGGTCCCGCGCCTCGGGCCTCGGCTCTCGGAGATAGTAAACTGCAGACTCCCGCCCAATTCCGTGAGGGAGATGCTGGCTGGAACAGGATGTCCGAGGCGCTGGCACGCTCCGGGCAATGCTAATAGTACGATCGATGCGGCGTATTCCAAGAGTTGTAATACTATAGCAGCCAGAGCGAGGCGATTAATTAAGCGCTGACCTCAGGGAGAAGTCTCCATTCATTGCCTCGGGCATCTACACGCCGCGTCCAGGTGGTTTCCTAAGGGCTGCTTTCCCAGAGTGTCAACAGTTGTGGGAAACCCCAACCCGAAACGCCCAGAGCGCGCATTTCTGTGTCGTAAATTCCTGTTTCAAACCAGGCTGTCTTGGCGCGGGCCCCTCCTGGCGACACCGGAGCCGGGGTTTGCACCGCAGGTGTTTTCAACCGTGTCCCGTCAAGGCTTACTGGGCGCGAACACAGCTGGGACAAGAAGTTAACCAACTCCAAAGTCTCGGGAACAGTTCTGGGGTGCTTATTTCCCGGTTACACCGCTCCCCAACTTTCTACACGCTGCTCCGTCGTGTCCCATGAGGTGTCCCATGAGGTGGCTTGTTGGCAAAGCCAAGTATCAAGGCACCGTACTGTACATTAATTGTGATATTGTGAAATGTGCATTTGGCACTGCACCCTGTATCCCATTATAGGACTGGGCCCCCTAGGTAACTCCAGGATTCAGGCCGGACAAAGATCAAGGCAGGATTAGAGGGTGGGGACCTCAGCCCCCCACCGCGAGAAAACTACCAGGGCGGGGAGAGGGGCAGGTGGTCCAGCTGACCACAAGGATTTAACAACGATGCCTACGTGAAGAAACTTCTATATTAAAACGAGAGGAACTGAGTGGGGCCTCTCAGAGGTCAGCAGGCGGGGGGGGGGGGGGGTCTGGGTCTGGGGGAAGGTGGGTTGAGCCCAGGGACACGTGGAGGCTCCGCCCTCAGGCTCCCACCCACCTGGCTGTCAATCTCACGCTTGATAATGAACCGGTGAGTGTAAAGTGTTTCCCTGAGTTCTGTGGGTTGTCCTAATTGGACCCAAGGACAGGGGCATGGGAGCCCCAGTTCATAGAGTGCCAGTCAGAGAATTCCAGAGGTCAGGGCGTCTGCAGTGAGAGAAAATCCTGTGGGCCGGAACCGCTCATCTGTGGCCCCTAACCCCACCTCCAGGTGGACCAGTTAGAGCAGGCGGTTAGGGCCGGCAGCCTGGCAATCAAGGCCGGGCCAAACACAGTGGGATCAGGTCGTTCGTCTCCTTGCCCCAAAGAGGACTCCACCTTCGACAGTGCCATGACAGATCTGGTCCAGCCACCTCAGGACTGAAATAGACCTCCCTCACTCCCCACTCTTTCTAGGAATCCCCCTGTTACACAGAAATCCCCAAATCACCGTGACAGATCTGGGCCAACCATACAGGGACTAAAACCGACTTCCTCACTCTTTCCAGGTAGCACCCTCCCCATTCTACAGAAATCCCACCCGCGGGAGGAATACTCCACCTCTCAGTCAAGAGACAGAAAATGAGGGGCTGGTGTTGTGGCGTAGTGGGTAAAGCCTGCATCCCATGGGGGCGCTGATTCAAGTCCTGGCTGTTCCACTTCCAATCCAGCTCCCTGCCAATGCGCCTGGGAAAGCAGCAAAGTGTTTGGGCCCTGCCACCAACATGGGAGACCCAGAAGAAGCTCCTTCCTGCCTTTGGACTGGCCCAGCTCCAGCCGTGGTGGCCATTTGGGGAGTGAACCAGCGGGTGGAAGACCTCTTTGTAAACTCTTTCAAATAAATCAATCAATCTTTAAAAAAAAAAAAAAAAAGGCCCAGACGACAAGTGGGGGCTGCTTGCCCGCCTTGGTCTTTCCTGAGTGTGTTTCTGCTTTGCTTCATACACTTTGCTTCCCGCCTCACTCCAACTGGCTCAGAATCCTTTCTCTGCCAGATTCAAGAACCGAGGTGCAGCTTATGTTCCCCAGAAATCTGGTAAGAGGTAGGTGTCAGAACCTGGTGTGCCGGCGCCGCAAGGCAGAGGATTAGCCTAGTGAGCCGCGGCGCCGGCCTGGCTGCTCCACTTCCGAATGAGCTCCCTGCTGGGGCCTGGGAAAGCAGAAGATGGCCCAATGACTTGGGCTTCTGCACCCGGAAGAAGCTCCCGGCTCCTGACTTCGGATCAGCTCAGCTCCGGCAGCCATGGTCATTTGGGGAGTGAACCAGTGGATGGAAGACCTCTCTCTCTGTAACTCTACCTTTCAAATAAATACCAAACACACACACACACACACACACACACACAATGGTTGGCGGTAGGGAGCAATCCCATTTTGGTGACTATGGGTGCCGGGTTGCATTAAGATTAGAGGTTAGCAAAAACACACTCTCACTATTCCTCAGATTGCTATTTTACCACTGGCTCTTCCAGAAAGAGTTCACGTTCAGAAAGCGCTCCTGACACCTGAAAACACACACTTTCTCACTGCAGGACTTTGCCCAGATACTCAGAGTAGGTGCCTCCCGGACTGAATGCGGAAGTCCTAGAATAATGTTCTAGAAAGGGACTTTCCACCTTTACATCCTCTTTGAAAAGTTACCATAGGTTTAAATCCTGGATCCACAGACATACGTGACCCGGAACAAGCTAATGGACCTCTCTAAGCTTCGATTTTTTTCTTCTTTAAAAATATGGGGGGAGTAGAAAAATGAATGTTAAAATTGGGGGAGGGGCCAGCAAACGTCCCTGGCATCCCATATGGGCGCAGGTTCGAGTCCTGGCTGCTCCACTTCCAATTCAGCTCCCTGCTAATGGCTTGGGAAAGCAGCGGATGATGGCCCAAGTGCTTGGGCCCCTGCACTGGGTGGGAGACCCGGGTGAAGCTCCTGGCTGCTGGTATTGGATCGGCCCAGTTCCTGCTGTTGCTGCCATTTGGGGAGTGAACCAGCAGATGTCAGACATTTTTCTCTCTCTCTCCCTGTAACTCTGCCTTACAAATAAATAAAAAAGAAAAAAATTGGAGTACTTCGTTTACATACGTGTATATCGACACAGTGCTTGCTGCATTGCAAGCCCCCAGTAATTTTACGGAAATGTACCCATAGCCCGCAGGCGGCTTGCAGATGACAAACAGGGAAGGTAACTGAAAAGTCCGGGCAGGGCAGGGCAGAGCCACCCCCTCCCCAGCGGTAGGCACTCAGGGATGGTAAATGAGAACACTGTTCGGTGTAATGAGCTCTAAAGACTCGCGTTGGAGCAGGGCCAAAGAAGTGACAGAGCCGGGAAGGGCGAGGGCTTTTATTGTTTTACCAGGAATCTGAAAAGATCCCAAGGGGTGGACGCCGGTGCCTTCCGCGGGCGGGGCGGGGGCGAGTGCACGCGAGCCCGCGCGTGGTCCGCCTTCCTCCGCCCCACGCAAGGCGTCCAGCCCCGGGCAGAGCGGCTCCCCGGCGGCCACCCCGGGGCGAACCGCAGCGCGACCCCCCGCCCCCGGCAGCGGGGCCCGACCGCGTCACGCGCTCCCGGGACACCAGGCAACCCGCGCGCCCAACACGCACAGCAGGGTCCGCGCGGGAGGAGCGAGCCCAGGTGCACGAGCGCGCGCGGCCGCGAGCCCGGTCCGGAGGCGCACGGGGGGCGAGGGGAGTCGCGCGGCGACCGGAACAGCGCCGAGGCCCGGGGACGAGCCGGAGGACCGCCAGGCCGCGGCGGGGCCGGCGCTGCTGACGTCACAGTGACGCCAGACGTGACGCCGCGGCGGGGCGGAGTGGGGCCGACGCGGGAGGGCGTTTCCGGAGCGCGCGCCGGGCGAGGGCCGCCGACGCCGGGCTCAGGTGCGCGCGCCCGCCCGCGGCCCAGGTGGCGGCCTGCAGCTCCGGGTGGCGGCCCGAGGCGGTGAGGGAGTGGCCGGCGGCGCGCTGTGCCCGCGGGGCGAGGGCCCGGACGCGGACAGGGCTCCGAGGCGGGCGGGCGCGCACTCCCGGGACGGGCGGGGAGGCTGGGGTGACGGCGGCGAGCCCCACCCCTCGGGGGGCGCTGACCGGGCTGTCCGGCATGGCGGGGCGCCCCCGGGGCCCCAGCGCAGCCGTCGGCCCCACGCCGCCCGGCCCGCGCTAGCCCCTGGAATTGGGCGCGGTGTCCGGCAGCCAGGCCTCGTCTCCTGCGTCGGTGGCGTCGCGGCTGGAACGCAATGGAAGAAAAGGAGCGACGCGACCGGCTGCCCTCGGCCCTCCGGTGTTGAGGCCTGGTGGGCATTTGCAGGGAGGAAAACACACAGCGAGAAAAATCGGGGTTTTCGGAGAGGCGGGCGGGGGGGGGGGGTGGGCGGGGAAACCGAAATGAGGGCTTAACAGTTTTTTATATGATTTTTTAAAAAAAATTCTGCACTTTGATAGTGGCGGCGAAATAAACTGAACCAAAAGTTATTTTTCTATTGAGAAGAGAGAAGAGGTGGACTTGGTGTTTTATCCGTTTGCTTGCAACCTTTTCTCCCAGTGACAAAGCAGAAGTCATGGGCCCCGGGGAGTGAGGTGGACCTCAGGAATCCTGGGTGGACTGAGTGGGTCCATCTTCCTCTGGAGGGGAGAGGGGTGGTGGCAGCTTTCTCCGGAACCGAAAACGAAAAACATGAGTTGCGTGCCATGGAAAGGAGACAAAGCCAAATCGGAGTCGCTGGAGCTGCCCCAGGCGGCACCCGCACAGATCTACCACGAGAAGCAGCGGCGGGAGCTCTGTGCCCTCCACGCCCTCAACAACGTCTTCCAGGACGGCCAGGCCTTCACGCGGGAGACCCTGCAGGACATCTTCCAAAGGTAGGGACCGCTTCCCGGCGTCTCTGTGCTTGGTGGTTGTGACTTCGGGTGGGTGAGCCAGGGTCTCAGCGACACAGACCCGCAGGCTTGGAGGGACGGCTGCACTTAGAAGCCCGGGAGCACGCAGGGTGGGGAGGATGACCTCTGGCTGCCGCCTCTCCTGTGTTATCTGGGTGGTCTGCCCATCGGTCCCGTGGGCACCCCAGGGTGCTTCAGAAAGTTTAAAAGATAAGTCTATTTTGGTACAAAGAAAATTGAATGCATGCATAATGTTTTGTAGTATTTATTTCTGTGAACTTCTTAGGGCTCCATGCATATTCGACTTCAGAATTTTTGCAGGCCAGCACCATGGCTCACTTGGCTAATCCTCCACCTGCAGAGCCAGCACCCCGGGTTCTAGTCCCGGTTGAGGCTCCGGATTCTGTCCCGGTTGCTCCTCTTCCAGTCCAGCTCTCTGCTGTGGCCCGGGAAGGCAGTGGAGGATGGCCCAGGTCCTTGGGCCCTGCGCCCGCATGGGAGACCAGGAGAAGCACCTGGCTCCTGGCTTCAGATCAGCACCGTGTGCCGGCCGTAGCGACCATTTGGGGGGTGAACCAACGGAAGGAAGACCTTTCTCTCTGTCTCTCTCTCTCACTGTCTAACTCTGCCTGTCAAAAAAAAAAAAAAAAAAATCTTTGCAGGCACCCTCCCACGTATTACACGCACTGTTAGTTCCTTTTTACCTAAGGCAGAACTCAGGACGCTTCAGTGCTTAGCCTAGAGGAACCTGACGGGACTGAGCCAGGGTGGGATTCCCATCTGTACCTGCTGGTGACTGCTGTGGTGGCCCGGTGCCTCTCAAGTCCTGCCGCCGGCGCGTGCGTCGAGGGGGGCCAGGGTGTCTGCACACAGTCAGCTGTCATCACAGGTGGGCTGTGCTGGGCTCCACAGACCCTCGGGTGCGTGGGGCTCAGCCCTCCGGGAGGCCCCGGGCTGCTGCTCACGCTTCCGCCGTCTGTTTCCCACAAAGCTATGATCGGAAGCCGACTCCAGATGCTGGCTCCTCCCAGGGTTATTCTAGATGGCCTTTCTCGCCCGCAGGTAGTTAGGTGTGTGGCTTGTTTTCTCTTGGCTTTGATGGCCTGTGAGTCTTTGGAGGGTTTGAGAAAGAGCCCGCAGGGTTGGACGGGCGCAGCGGCACGTCGACAGTCGGGAGCAGCTCGGGCACTGAGCCCGGCGGGGGTGGCTCCTGCCGGAAGGGCTAGGCCTGCGGGTCCCCGGTGCAGCACCCTCGGGGTTCCTGGCGCTGTGCGTGTTGGCCGCGAGGACCCCCTCTGGCTCCCCTCACTGGGAGGTGCAGTTGTTGCCGCACAGGACCCAAACGCCAGCTGGAAGCCACCTGGCTGGGGTGGTGTGACGCATCCGAGCGAACCATTTACCCTGAGACAACCACAGAGCTTCTCTTAAAAGAATCGCAGCGAGCTGACAAAATTACAAGAGTAATTATTACCCAGTGCCAGTAATTACCTGAGTAGTGCCACAGCCTTGGCAGGGAAAATGTGTCATTGGCATCACGGGTATTATCTGGCAGTAGGCAGAGTTAACTCTTCAGGAAATGCAGCCCTGGGAGGAACAGAATTTGTCCCAGGTCACCAGGTCGCGTGCCGGAGAGGAGCAGAAGGGAGGACCAGGGTGTTCGAGACGGTGTCTGGTGGCCAGCCCCAAGTAGCTCTTCTGCTCCTCAGTGGGGGTTTGCCAATTACTCGCTGATGGAAAACTGCGGAGAAGGACTTAGAGTGAGTACCTGAGTGCGCTGGCGACTGGAGTACCCAGACCCGTCCTGGGACAGCCTTGCCAGTGCTGATCCTGGGGACGGAGGGTTTAGTTGACACCACCAGGAGGGTGAGATTCTGTGTATCCAGTGGTGCTCACTAGGGAAGTTTTGGGCACGGTGAGACCACTCACGGTTGAACGTGCATTGCACAGCTGGGACCCCCGCGTGTTTGTGGAGACAGCAGGAATTGAACTGGGTCTTCCCTCCGGGGAGGGACGCTGCAGAGCTGCCGACACCGCAGGGAGCCGGGGTCCTGTCCCCTCAGCACCCTGGCGAGTTGCACTGCATCCCGAATCCCTTCTCAGCACAGTGTAAGATCGCCCGAGCCCATCAGCAAAGCCATACGAAAGAGTCCCACTCGTGGAGCTCCGTGGCGGGTGTTTGGTGTGGAGAAAGTCTGTGTGGACGGGCAGAGCGACAGGGGTGAGACGAATCCAGAGGGAGGGAGGGGGGAATGTGTTAAGCAGACACTGACCAGCTGCCCGCAGGGTGCCAGGCACTGCCAGGCACTGCGGAGAAACAGGCTGGGTAGGATGGGGCCTCTCGGGTCTGCAGCAGAGCCGGGCGCTGGCCCCGCGAAGCGAGAGCCGTGGGATTCGGAGCAGCTTGAAAGTGAAAAGGCAATGTGCTTGGAGCTGCAGGGAAGGGAGCGATGCTGGCGCGTCCAGCTGCGCGAGTGCTCAGATCCCCAGTTCCGCGCCGATTTGCAGACGCCCGCTGAGTGGAGAAATGTTGGGCAGTTTGTTGGGAGGAAGTCCATCTCGGCAGTTGAACTGTGGCCAGATAAAAGGAGAAATGCAAAGGCAGAGCAGAGCTGAAATGGAGGTTTAGATAGACGGCGACTCACGTTTGAAATAGAAATAATAGGAACCGAGAAAGATCTGGGCTAAAGAGCCTTGGTTCACGATATTTTTTCTTTGAAGATTGATTTATTGGATTTTTTTAAAAGTCTTTTTTTATTTATTGGAAAGGCAGAGAGTTAGAGGCAGAGAGGGATCTTCATCCACGGGTTCACTCCCCAAATGGCTGCAATGGCCAGAGCTTGGCCAGTCTGAAGCCAGGAGCCAGGAGCTTCTTCCAGGTCTTTCACATGGGTGCAGGGGCCCAAGGACTTGGGTCCTCTTTTACTGCTTTCCCAGGCCATAGCAGAGAGCTGGATTGGAAGTGGAGCAGCCGGGACTAGAACCAGTACCCATATGGGATGCCAGCTCTGCAGGCAGCAGCTTTACCCACTGCACCACAGGGCTGGCCCCCAAGGTTTTTTTTAAAGGCAGAGTTAGGGACAGAGATCTTCCCTCAGCCAGTTCCCTCCCCAAATGTCTGCAACAAGCTGAAGCCAGGACCCCAGAACTCCATCTGGGTCTCCCACATGTGGTCCAAGCACTCAGGCCACCTTCCGTTCCTCTCCTGGTGCGTTAGTAGGGAGCTGGGTCAGAAGTGGAGCAGCCGGGTCTCAAACCAGTGGCCGTGTGGGATGCTGGTGTCGCAGGCAGAAGCTTTACCCACTGTGCCGCAGCACCAGCCCCCTGGTCCGGAGTTGAAGCGTAGCGGTCACATCTGTAACAGTAAAGAGGCCTGGCTTGAGGAGGATCTGTTTCAACCTGTGAAATTGGAGGAAAGATCAAACTGGACGAGGTCATTGTGTACGTGTCTAGATGTAGGTATTCGACCTCATACATCTTATCACATGTCTGAGCTTTGAAAAAGAAGGGTTGTGGGATGGTGTTATGGTACAGTGGGCAGGGGTAAGCCACCACGTGTGACACATCATCCCGTATCTGAATGCCATTCTGAGTGTGGCCGTTCCGCTTCCGATCCGGCTTCCTGCTAAGGTGCCTTAGGAGGCAGTGGATGAAGCCGAAGTGCTTGGGCCCACGCCACCAGGGCCCACAGACCTCGCTGTTGCGGCCACTTAAACTCGATCTCTCTGTCCTTTTGCCTATTTAATAAATAAGTCAGTTTTAAAGAGAGAGAGAAAGGGTCCTAGGGATAAAGCGATGCAGGAGTAGCTTTGGTGGGCTGTTTTGAAAGTGCTCAAACCCCAGCTATTTTCACTAGGCTCATCCCAGTTCTTCCATGATCATCTGTTCTTGCAGCCAGCTAAGCATTTGTCCCTCAAATAAAATAGCTATGAAAATCGTAACTAAGGGCCAGCATTGTGGCGTGGTGGGTTAAGCCACTGCCTGTGACACGAGCTTCCTGTATGAGCACTGGTTTAAGTCCCGGCTGCTCCATTTCCCATCCAGCTCCCTGCTAATGTGTCTGGGGAGAGCAGTGGAAGATGGACCAAGTGCTTGGGTCCTGGCCACCCAGGTGGGAGACCTGGATGGAATTCTGGGCTCCTGGTTTCTGGCTGGCACAGCCCTGGCCATTGCGGCCATTTGAAGAGGGGCCAGTGGATGGAAGATCTCTCTGTCTCTCCTTCTCTCTCTGTAACTCTGTCTTTCAAATAAATAAATACTAAAATCTAACTAGGTGAAAACGAGTATGGTAGCAGAAAAAAAAATCCATAATGCATGTTGATAGGAACAAAAAGCTTAAGGATATTGGTGAGCACGCAGCATCCCCGTGGGAGGGGAGAGTCCAGCCTCCCTGTTGAAGGGACCTGAGCGGGTGGGAGGGGCCACATTTAAAAAGTGAAGTGTGGTGGTTATACATTGAGAAGGGGAACTGTTCAATATTGGACTCTGAAGATTTGAATGTCTTGTCCAGGGGCCAGACACAAGTAGAAGTAGTCGTAGTAGTAATGGTAGTAGTATAGTAGTAGTGGCAATAGCAGTAACAGTAGCCGCAGCCGCGGCAGTAACAGCCAGCACCACAGAGCACTTGCGTGTGCCTGGCCCGGTGATCAGTACTTCATTCAGGAACGTAGCAGGAAGTCCCAAGCCGTAGTTTTTAATTCATGTCTGTTTGTACCTGCTCAAAAGGAGGAAAAGGATCTTGCGAAATGCCTCCTCATCTCCCTTTTCGTTAAAATCCAGAGTCATCACTGGGCAGCGATCACGCGGGAGGATCAGGGTTGATCGGAGGGTGTAGACAGTAGTGGAGACCTGGACTAGGTCCCGAGGTCTTGCCTCTGCTGATTCACTCCTCAGGTGCTTACAGCAGCCAGGGCGGGGCCAGGCCAGGAGCCAGGAGCCAGGAGCCCCATCCGGTTCTCCTGTGTGGGTGCGGGGCAGGTCACCTGCACATTAGGAGGAAGCTGAATCAGAAACAAAGTAGCCGGCGCTCAGACCCCTCAGTCTGATCTTTAGAATCTCATACTGTTTCATTGTGCGTGGAAGGCAAACACACACAGTGAGAGAAGGAGGTAACTTCCATGCACTGCTTCATTCCCCAGATTCCTGCAGCAGCCAGGACTGGGCCAGGCCAAAGCCAGGAGTCCAGACCTGAATCTGGGTCCCCCGTGTGGGTGGCAGGGACCTCCCAGTGAGTGCACGTTAGCAGGAAGCTAGGATTGGAAGTGGAACCAGGCCTGAGACCCAGGCGATCCAGACTGAGACGCAGGCAACACAAGCAGCGTCTTAGCTACCGCGCGTACCTCTGCCCGGTCCCGTCTTTTAGATCACCTCCGGTCTTCGTGGCTCTGACCTCTGGCTGTGATGACCAAAATCAGAGGCTCTCTTCATAGCCCAGGACTTCTGTGGGAATCGTCTGACAGTCCTGAACAGAGGTTTGCAGAGGGGACTTCCTTTTAAAAGTCTGGGTCGCGAGGAATTCCCCGGGAGCAGTGGACTGGTGAGGGCCGTCGTGGGCGTAGAGGTTGAGTCCCAGCCCTGCCTCTCACCGTGCGTGACTGTGCAAGTCACCGTGACCTTGCTCCTCAGCTTCCTTGTTTACAGTTCAGGGTTGTTGGAAGGGCTAAGAGATAAAACGTGTATAAAGGCAGCTAGCACACTTGGCACTAGATGGCTAAAGTAAAAGTGGAAGTACTGGCGTGGCAAGTGCGCCGGGCCCCACTGGCTCCTCCAGAATGCGCAGGAAGCTAATTTCAGCTCGGCGGGCTTGGCCAGTGCGTGCTGTCCAGTTGCCTGTGCCTGCCTCAGGGATTCAGAGCAGAGGAGCTGTGCCTTTCGCTCCGGGAACTTGCTTATGGGTTGGCCATGTATGAAAACAACCGAGTTATTTAGTGGCCAGTAAGAGGAGTTGTTCCCATGTTTGCAGATGAGGTACCAGGCCTGGAGGCTACGTCTCGGTGTTGTGGTGCTTGCCTGTGAACTCAGATGTGTGTGGTCCTCCCAGCCTCCCTCCTGTTTCACGGAGCGGTCAGGAAAGGTTCCATGGACAACCTGAAGAAGCTGTAGAAGTAGTCATCTGATATATTTAAAAATTATTTTGTATTTTTTTTGAGGATTTATTTCTTTACATTTGAAAGAGTTAGGGAGAGACAGAAAGGTCTTCTGTCCACTGGTTCACACCCCAGATGGCCACAACGGCCAGAGCTGGGCCAGGCCAAGGCCAGGCGCTTTATCTTGGTCTCCCACATGGGTGCAGGGACCCAAGCACTTAGGCCGTCTTCTACTTCAGGGAGTCAGGGCCATTAGCAGGGAGCTGGAATTGGAAGTGGAGCAGTCAGGACATGAACTGGCGCCCATGTGGGATGCCAGGCGTTGCAGGTGGCGACTTTACTCGCTGCACCACAGCACCAGCCTGGAATATGCAAAATACTAAAACAGGCAATGTTGTCATGGTTCCTGGAGTGTGCAGGATGCTGAGAAGCTCTGGGGGAGCGGAGAGGCTTGGAGTTGGCGCCATTGCCAGTTCCTACGTAGTGGAGTGAAATGACGCCCTTGGGAGTTACGGCAGGGACATCTAGGCCGAATTGATGGAGGGGAGTTTGAAGCAAGATCAGTTCAGGAACCTTTCTCAGAAGCCCAGGTGTGGGGTGGAGGATTCCAGTTAGCACGGAGGCAGAGGGAACAGACAGGAAGGGGCGCGAATCTGAGCCCCTGTACCGCATACCCCCAGACAGACGGACGCCGCAGCACTCACGTAACCCCCTTTCCTAGAGACTTACGGGAAGGTTAGCACGTCAGGGACGCACAGAGTCCCGCAGGAAACCTTGCTGACTTGGTTCACTCAGCCCGCCTTGTCCTGAACTGCTGGATGCCCGCTGCCCCCGCTGTTGGGAAGCCTGCAGGCCCACGCTGGGGAGCATGGGCCCTGCAGGGAGTCAGGGCCGGGGGAGCCCTGCCGGGAGTCAGGGCGGGGGAGCCGGGAGTTAGGGCCAGGGGAGCCCTGCAGGGAGTCAGGGTGGGGGGGAGCTCTGCAGGGAGTTAGGGGGGGGCTCTGCAGGGAGTCAGGGCCAGGGGAGCCCTGCAGGGAGTTGGGGGGGGAGCCCTGCAGGGAGTCAGGGCGGGGGGCAGGGGGAGCCTGCAGGGAGTTAGGGCGGGGAGGGGAGCTCTGCAGGGAGTCAGGGTGTGGGGGGGGAGCCCTGCAGGGAGTCGGGGGGGGGGGAACTCTGCAGGGAGTCAAGGTGGGGGGGGAGCTCTGCAGGGAGTCAGGGTGTGGGGGGGAGCCCTGCAGGGAGTCAGGGTGTGGGGGGGGAGCCCTGCAGGGAGTTGGGGGGGGAGCCCTGCAGGGAGTTAGGGCGGGGAATGGGGGAAGCTCTTCAGGGAGTCAGGGCCGGGGGAGCCCTGCAGGGAGTGTGGGGGGGGAGCCCTGCAGGGAGTTAGGGTGTGGGGGGAGCCCTGCAGGGAGTTAGGGTGTGGGGGGAGCCCTGCAGGGAGTTAGGGTGTGGGGGGGAGCCCTGCAGGGAGTTAGGGTGTGGGGGGGAGCCCTGCAGGGAGTTAGGGCAGGGGGGTGGGGAGCCCTGCAGGGAGTTGGGGGGGAGCCCTGCAGGGAGTTGGGGGGGGGAGCCCTGCAGGGAGTTAGGGTGTGGGGGGAGCCCTGCAGGGAGTCAGGGCCGGGGAGCCTTGCTGGAGTTGGAGCCTTTGCCAGAGACTTCACGGGAAGCAGTGAGGGTGCAGGGGAAGCAGGCCTGCCCTCAGCTTTCTCACTTCACCTGAGTGCCCTGTTGACCTGGCCTAGCTGCAGGGGCTCAGCTGGTGCAGCCCCACCTCCGATTCCCGGGTCTTTGTGTGTAAATTGGAAACAACGCAAGCTTGAATCCTAGCTCTGTCGCGGCTGCTTTTTTCGATTTATTTATTTATTTGAAAAGTAGTGACAGGGAGGGAGGAAGAGACAGGGAGAGAGAAGTCTTCCATCTGTGTGTTCACGCCCCAGATGACTGTAATGGCTGGGGCTGGGCCAGGCTGAAGCCAGGAGCCAGGAATTCCATCCAGGCCTCCCACATGGGTGCCGGGGCCCAAGCACTTGGGCCATCACTGCTGCCTTCCCAGGCACGTTAGCAGGGAGCTGGATCAGAAATAGAGCAGCCCAGACTCCAACCAGCACTCCAGTATAGGATGCCAGTGTCACAGGCGGCGGCTTAACCCGCTGTAGCACAATGCCTGCCCACTTCCATCGGCAAGTCAGTTAAAACCACCAAGTCTCAGTTGTTATGACCTATGCTCAAGGTTTTACTGTGAGGCTTAAATGAGGTACAGCCAAACACAACTAGTACAGTGCCTGACAGAGAGGTCGTCACTCTCGAAAGTGGTAACGTAAAAGAACGCTGGGTTGCAGAGTGAGGTGTGGTGTCCGCTTAGCCCCACTGCTAGCCCTGGAGATGAGAGTGTAAACCCTAGTCATGGCCGGCGCCGCGGCTCACTAGGCTAATCCTCCACCTTGCGGCGCCGGCACACCGGATTCTAGTCCTGGTCGGGGCGCCGGATTCTGTCCCGGTTGCCCCTCTTCCAGGCCAGCTCTCTGCTGTGGCCAGGGAGTGCAGTGGAGGATGGCCCAAGTCCTTGGGCCCTGCACCTGCATGGGAGACCAGGAGAAGCACCTGGCTCCTGCCATCGGATCAGCACGGTGCGCCAGCCGTAGCGCGCCGGCAGCGGCGGCCATTGGAGGGTGAACCAACGGAAAAGGAAGACTTTTCTCTCTCTCTCTCTCTCTCACTGTCCACTCTGCCTGTCAAAACAAACAAACAAACAAACAAAAAAACAACCCTAATCATAGGGAGAGAGGATGACAGAAACAGAGAACTTGGAGCACACCTCCCTGTGTCTGCATCACGGCCAGGCCCTCTGAGGCCCCGGTGACGCAGGGCCCGGTCCAGTGTAGACAGATGAGAGACAAGACCGGCAGCAGCCACGGGCTGCACCGGAAGCAGTGGACACACAGGCTGCCCTGGGAGACACTTCAGGGCTGGTGGGCAGTACAGGGCAGTACAGGTTGCGGCAGTAACAGCTGAGACCCAGAGAGTAACGAGCAAAGCGAGTGAGGATCCAGGGCGGGGGTGGTCCAGGAAACCATTTGGTCTGGCTCTCCAAGGCACCTGCAGGCCCAACTCAAAATTCAGCACAGATATAGGCTAGTTTTTAAGTTGATGATTTCATACGGCCTGCAAATGATGTTGCACGTATCGGGTGTCCCTTGGTGGAGAAAAGTTCGCGCGCCCTTCCAGGGGAACTGGAAGCAGACTGTAGCAGGGAACACTGCGTGCAGAGGGAGACAGAGCGTGGTGTGTTCCAGGGACAGGAAGAAGGCGGGTGCGGCAGGAGGTCAGAGACGAGATGAGCGGGGTCCTGAGGAGAGTGTGGGTCACGTGGCCACGATCGGAGGCTCGTAAGACAGTACAGAGGTGTGGTTGAGGATTCCACACTGTTGCTGTGTGTGGAGAAGTTTTAAATCGCCATCCTTGGACTAAAGTCGATTCTTGTTTTAAAGATTTATTTATTTATTTCAAAGTCAGAGTCAGAGTCAGAGAGAGAGAGAGAGAGAGAGGTCTTCCATCTTCCGGTTCACTCCCAATTGACCACACGGTCGGAGCTGTACTGATCCTAACACAGGAGCCAGGAGCTTCCAGGTTTCCCACACAGGTGCAGGGGCCCAAGGACTTGGGCCATCTTCTGCTGCTTTCCCAGGCCATAGCAGGAAGCTGGATCAGAAGTGGAGGGACTCAAACCGGTGCCCATATGGAATGCTGGCGTGGCAGGCTGAGGCTTAGCCTGCCATGCCACAATGCCAGCCCCTCTACATTCCATTTACACCTGGCCTCCGTTTATACTTTTATGTTAGCTGTCTGAACCCATGTATAACTGAGTATTTAATGATTAAAGATTGCCAAATATGCAGGCCTTAAATTGCATTTAAAGAAGGGGCTGGCATTGTGATGTAGTGGGCAACACCACCACCTACAATGCCCTCATCCCATATGGACACTGGTTTGTGTCCTGGCTGCTCTACTTCTGATCCAACTCCTGCTACTGGCGTGGGAAAAGTACCAGAAGATGGCCCGTTTGGGGCCCTCCTACTGACATGAGAGACCTGGAAGAAGCTCCTTGCTCCTGGCTTTGGCCTGGCCCAGTCCTGGCCATTGCAGCCATCTGGGTAGTGAACCAGGCGATGGATGATCTCTCTGTGTCTCTCCCTCTTTCTCTGTAACTCTTGACTTTCAAATAATTATTAAATCTTTTTTAAAAATGTAGCATTGAGGCCGGCGCCGCGGCTCACTAGGCTAATCCTCCGCCTAGCGGTGCCGGCACACCAGGTTCTAGTCCCGGTCGGGGCGCCGGATTCTGTCCCGGTTGCCCCTCTTCCAGGCCAGCCCTCTGCTGTGGCCAGGGAGTGCAGTGGAGGATGGCCCAGGTGCTTGGGCCCTGCACCCCATGGGAGACCAGGAAAAGCACCTGGCTCCTGACTCCTGCCATCGGATCAGTGCGGTGCGCCGGCCGCAGCGCGCCGGCCACGGCGGCCATTGGAGGGTGAACCAACGGCAAAAGGAAGACCTTTCTCTCTGTCTCTCTCTCTCACTGTCCACTCTGCCTGTCAAAAAAAAAAAAAAAAATGTAGCATTGAAGCTGGTGCTGTTGTGCAGGGGGTTAAAGCCCCAACCTGCAGCATTGGCATCCCATATGGTCCCCGGTTCAAGTCCTGGCTGCTCCATTTCCAATCCAGCTCTCTGCTGTGGCCTGGGAAAGCAGTGGAAGATGGCCCAAGTCCTTGGACCCCTGCACCCGTGTGGGAGACCCAGAAGAAGCTCCCGGCTCCTGACTTCAGATTGGCCCAGCTCCAGTCATTGTGGCCATCTGGGGATGGAAGACCTCCGTCTCTCTTTGTTTCTACCTGTCTCTCTGTAACTCTGTCTTTCAAATAAATAAAAAATGTTTAAAGTAGCATTTAAAGTGTAAAAAATGGAAGTATCAACAGATACTACCTACACGAATGAAAACATCAGGTAGTGTTTCCCAGTGTGAAATGGCCCATGTCAAGGCAGGAAGAAGCCTGGAAGGCTGGCGGGCTGCGGCTTCGTCGGGACACTGCTTCATGTGCCCACTGACTGCAGAGTGGCAGGCACGCCGCGGGCTGGTAGTTCTGCGGAAGAAGAGAGGTGACCTCTAGGGCAGTAGGAGCCCAGGCTCCTGGTGAGCTTGTGCCAGGCCCTAGGGAGCTGCTTGGGATGCCTGCCTTGCTGGGGAGCCCGCGTCCTCTCTAGCTCCCTGCTAATGCACAGGGACCTGCGTCTCTGCCACCCTTGTGGGAGATCCTTGTCCCTGGCTTTGGCCTGGTTCAGCCCTGGCTCCTCTGAACATTGAGGGAGAGAACCAGTGGGTGGAAGAGCTCTGTTTTTCAAATAAAATTAAAATTTTTAAAAATAATCCAGAAAACAAAAGAGAAACTGGCAAGATTGCGTTTGAATGGGCACTGGGAGGGAGGTCAGTGCCCCGCCAGAGGGCAGTACACGGCCCTGAGGGGCCGGGCGGACCTCAGGTCTCAGCTTGCCTCTTGCCTCATCTGTAGGTTGTCCCCAAACACCATGGTGACGCCCCACAAGAAGAGCATGCTGGGAAATGGCAACTACGACGTGAACGTCATCATGGCAGCGCTTCAGACCAAAGGCTACGAAGCCGTTTGGTGGGACAAGCGCAGGTAACGTGCGCCGGGCTTGGCCTGACTCGGGGCTGCGGCTTGCAGAGCCGGCCCTCAGCCCCAGGGCTCTGGGTCGGCGTGGGGAGGGCCCGGGAGGCTCCGGCCTGAGCGTGGCTCTCTTCTGCAGGGACGTCAGTGTCATCGCGCTCGGTAACGTCGTGGGCTTCATCCTGAACCTGCCCTCCAGCCTGTGCTGGGGGCCGCTCAAGCTGCCCCTCAAAAGGCAGCACTCATGACTAGGTTTTGCACTGTGCGGGGCAGGGTTAGCAGTGGGCTTAAGCGGCCAGCACACCTCATTGTTCAACGCAGCGTTCTTTTTCGGTAGCACTTTCGAGAGTGACGAAGTTTCTGTCAGGCACTGTACTAGTTGTGTTTGGCTGCACCTCATGTAAGCCTCACAGTAAAACCTTGAGCATCGGTCATAACAAGTGAGACCTGGTCTTTTTAACTGACTTGCCGATGGAAGTGGGCAGGCATTGTGCTACAGCGGGCTAAGCCGCCGCCTGTGACACTGGCATCGTATACTGGAGTGCTGGTCGGAGTCTGGGCTTCTCTATTTTTGATCCAGCTCCCTGCTAACGTGCCTGGGAAGGCACCAGCGATGGCCCAAGTGCTTGGGCCCCGGCACCCATGTGGGAGGCCTGGATGGAATTCCTGGCTCCTGGCTTCAGCCTGGCCCAGCCCCAGCCATTACAGTCATCTGGGGCGTGAACACACAGAGGGAAGACTTCTCTCTCCCTGTCTCTTCCTCCCTCCCTGTCACT